ATGTGTTAACATTTCGAAGTCCTAGAAATGAACAATGAAGACATAAGGACCTCACCTGAAATGTAGCTGAGCAGTGTGAAATCACTGTTGTTGTTATGCATGCGCCTTCAAGTCCGTTCTGACTCACGGTGACTATAGGGTTTCTGAGGACTATAGGGAACTGACCTTGCAGTTCAAACCAGCTTTGCAGTACACTGTATTATTCCACAACAGCCTCACACCAGTGTTCCCCGACAACCTGACAAATTACATGTCTTGTTTCAAAATCAACGCTACTGGTGAATCCATGACACACCTCTCAAACTAGCTTCCCTCTCAAACTAGCTCACTTCACTTTTGTAGACTCTGCCTTATTCAACCAGACATTTGTTTCCCCAACCGCATACCCACACCAAGCGGCCTGAACATAAAAGGAAACTAAAAAACATGTTGCATGCAGGGGTAAAATGCAAAACAGAAGCCCTGTTAGAAAAAACTCTGTAACTGTCCTACATCTCAGTGGCACACGGGAAGCTTTGTCTGATAGTCCCTAGTGACGTTAGCAGTTGGAGGAACCCTGGTGGCACAAATGACCAAAAAAGCACGAGGCTAACTGAAAGTTTGGTGGTTTGAACCTACCCAGTGGCTCCAAAGGAGAAGAGACTTATAAAATCTTTTAGATGACGGGGCTTTTTTCTCCTCCGTCACACAGGATTGCTATGAGTCGAAAACAACTCAACAAGACCCATCAACAACAATGTGAATTGTTTCCCAAATTAAAAAATGCCCAGCAGGGATAACATCATTTCAAAACCAATCTTCTGCTACAAAAATCACATTTAAGATTTTTTTTTTCTCCACCAGATTATAAAATAGCCCATTAACTACAGAAAGCATGGCTGGAAAAAAGACACACACACACCAAAGGAAGTATGGGAGAATAAGAAAAATTTCAAAGGTGACTGTGATCCAGCCACCCAAGCCCACAAGCCAGCACTGTGGTATCTGTTCCCACTCAGTACGGCCCGGAAAGATGACACAGAAGGTTCCACAGGGTCCAAGGCCGCCATCTTTATGGAAGCAGACTGTCACAGCTTCCTCAGCTCCAGCCAAGTTGCTTTATAATAATAAAGGTTTTACTGCAATATAACTTGAGGCAGTGTTCTTTAATAGCTCCATGATAAATTAAAACACCACTAGTCCCCGATGTGGGCCAGGTTTCCTTCAGCCAGCACATAATACTTTCTGAGTCATTTGTATCTCCACATCATTAGGGCTCTTGCCAAGAGTAGCTTTTAGATCTTAAGTGCACTTTCAAAAGAAAACAGGGCCTTCCACCTGCCAAAGATAAAATGCTATGCATCCCAGAGCAGTATTTCATCTGTTTCCACCTCCCCTGCCCCTCCCCACAGAACAGTGATACAGAAAGGGGAACTTTGTAAACCCAAGTCGACTCTGACTCACGGTGACCCCATTAAGATAAGCGTTAAGACAGATCCACAGCGTTTCTAAGGCTGTAAATCTTTACGGCAGCAGACAGTCTCATGTGTCTTCCTTACAGTGGGGTTAGGGGGCTCGAAACACTGACCTAGCAGTGGAACAAACATCCAACCACGTTGCCACCAGGGTTCCTTGAACTAACTATGGCAGCTGTAAAACGCTTCAACAGTCACGGATCAGACAGAGAAAACAACAGGGTGAACATTCCCACCATATTCTCACACGTCCAATAAAAGCAAAGGGCCTCTTAACACACTCCAACTTTACCTGCTGACTCTCAAACCATTGTTTCTAGCCATCTTATCCCTGGGGCTCAGGCTGTATAACCTATGAAGCAGATGGACCCATCCTGGGATACTGACACAACTTCTCAAATTCCCTGGCCAACAAAGAACTCATGAAATGACTCGCAAGCTGGCCCCCACGTGGTTGTCTCCCTCTCAGTAAACTGTCCTGCCCGCCACACAATCAGGTAAGCTTTTTGTTCTTCAGAGACTCCTCCTGACATATTCGCACACACATCTAATCCAGCAACAAGTTGCATGTGGGCCCTTCTCCATACCCGCACAATGCTGACCTGGATTCAACCACAGCTTCCTAACTGGTCTTCTGACTTCCAGCCCTGTGCTCTATAACCCATTGAGACACTTCATCAGGGGATTGATCTTTGACCATCCTGAGTCCAATCGCATCACTCGTTACGTGAAAACTTCCTGGTGGCTCCACAGTTAAGCACTCCACTGAACAAAAGGCTGGTGGTTTGAATCCATCAGTTGCTCTGTGCGGGAAAGATACAGCAGTCTGCTTCTGTAAAGATTACTGCCTGAGGGACTCTGGGGCACATCCACTCTGTCCTATGGGGTACCTATGAGTCACAATGGACTCAACTGGACAGCGATGGGTTGCCTTTTGGGTACTAACGTAGTATTATGGGCTTAAAGGTCCCAATACAATCTGGCCCCAGCCTCCGTCTCTGATCTACCTGGTACCAGTGCCACGCCCACACGAGACTGTCTGCGCCTGACTGGCGATGCCCTCTGCTCAGAATGCTCTGATAATGTCTGGGTTGCGTCTCACTATTTGTTGTTGCTGTTTTAGGGGTCCAGTTCGTTCTGACTCATAGCACCCTTCCCCCTGCACAACAGAAAGACACGGAAACACTGCCCGGTGCTGTGCTCTCCTCACAGTTGTCGCTGTCGGAGCTGGGTGTGTCAGTCCATCTCATGGGCTATCGTCTTCCTCTTTACTGCTGACCCTGGAGCTATAGGATAAACACCGGACTGCTAACTATAAGGTCAGCAGTTCAAACCCACCAGCTACTCCATGGAAACCCTATCTGGGTCGCTGAGTTGGAACCGACTCGATGGTGCCTAACAACAACTACGACTTTCCCAATCACGATGTCCTTCCCCAGGGACTGGCCCCTCCTGATGACACATCCAAGTCTCCCCATCTTGGCTTCTAAGGAGCATTCTGGCTGTACTTCTTCTAAGGCATATTTGTTCTTTCGTCTGCCATTCCAAGGTATAGTCAATATTCTTCGTCATCTTACTATTTATATATCAGCTTTTAAAACACTTTAAAGTGTCGCCTACTCATAAAAGCCTTCCTGCTTATGCTAAAACAGCCAACCACACTATCTGCCAAGACACTATTATTCATTTACCCTTTAACCCAGCAATCCACTTATGGGGAACCAGCTCAAAGACACACATCAGCAAAAGATGAAAGGGTATGGTTACAAAATTAAAACCCACACGATGGACAAAATTAGTCTCACCGAATTGTGCATATGACCAATGCAGAATTGACAAGTGGCGTGCTTGCTTTATTTTTACAACAAAGCAAAAGCCTGGAAGACAACCAGGCATCCCAGGTCTTCTGATGGAAGCATACAGTATCACTAACGAGATGTTCCTGAAACGCACACACAGACCCGAGTCTGAGCAATCCGCTGAACAACCACTCCACAAGAAGTATCGATGAAGAAACATGCAGTCAGGAAAGCCAAAACTATGGGGAGAGTCTGACCAAATAAATGATTCTGTTTATTTGACAACATGAATTATAAAGGGGAAAATAAAGATGGGAAAGTTTGAGTTTTGTTTTTGTTTTTAAGATTTTTTTTTTTTTCAAATTAAGAGATAGCCAATGATAATGTATGGCTCTTGTTTGTATTCTGATTCAAAAATAAACTATTTTTGAAGAGAAAGCAAGAACTGGGGAAATTTTTTAACCCTGTGTTCTAGCTATAGAGAAATTACTGTTAAAATGATTTGTGTTTGGAATGGTATTCCAGAGAGGTGCTTCTGGGTTCACAGTAGAAAAATGGGAAAAACCTGGGGCTCTGCCTCTGTAGAGATGACAGCCAATAAATTCTCACTGAGCAGTTCTTTCTACTACACACGTGGGGTCTCTATGACTCAGAATCCACAGACAGCACTGGGTCTGGTCATGAGCTGATCATTTTGAACCTGTGTGACAAAGGGGTGGACGTGTAACAGACTAGTCTCTCTACTTCTGTATATGTTTGAAATTCTCCATAACAAATGTTTTATGGCAACTAATTCAACACTGTAACACTGTTTTATTTCTCAGCATATCCATTTCCATAGGTGGTGGTGGCGGTGGTGATTATGTGCTGTGGAATCGGAACCAACTCATAGTGACCCTGTACAGGGTTTCTGAGACTGTAAATCTTTACAGGAGCAGAAAGCCTCATCTTTCTCCCACAAAACAGCTGGTAGTTTCGAACTGCTGACCTTAAGGCTCGCAGTCCGATTCGTAACCACTATGCTACCAGAGCTCCTTTTCCCATAGGTAGTTACTATTTATTGTTTTTGTTGTTGTTGGCTGTCTATCTTCTAGTAAAACATCAGCACTTTATAAGAAAGAGCAAGAACTTAATCATATTAGATGATTCTAGACAGAGTGAGAGAAAAATGTAAAAGTCAAAGTCATGAAAAAGATCAGGCTTACTAGTTAGACAGAGACTGGTGGAACCCCAAAAGTATGGCCCTCAGTTACCCTTCTGACCTGGAAATGAACTCGCCACACCAAGGTTTAACTTTCAAACAACACATTGTCTATACAGGAACCGATAACACTTGGGAGGTACGCACATCTTAGACCAACCAACCACTGGAGATCAAAAGGGAGCACTAACCCAATGACAGAATTCAGAAGGGTTGGAAGAGCAAGAGGAATGCAACCAGGAAACCCAGGGAGGAAGTGGGATGAATGCTGTTGCATTGTGAGGACTGCAGTCAATGAGACGAAATAAAGTATGTGAGAACTGTTGAATGAAAACTGATTTGCTCTGTACACCTTCGCCCGATACACAATAAAAAGTTCTCACGAGAGATTAGTGGTCAGCTCTGCTATTTTCCAAATTCCTAGAACGGTGCTGGGGCCTCCATGTAGATTTCTGAACAAATCAGTGAAACTCCAGGGACCTGCTTTAGAGTTTGGATGATGGTAACTGCCCGGGGAACTGACAGGCCTCAGCCAGGGGGGCGTACCTTGACTTCGATGAAGTCGGGATTCCCGAGGGACACCAGATGCGCGTAGGCCTGTAACTCATCCACGTTCCAGGCTTTCACCAGCGTCAGCCTATAGACCGTCCGTTGTTGCTGAAACGAAGGAAAAGTCGATTTTATTTTCACTTTGGTGGGAATCATATAACCAAACATTGAACTTTCTCAACCCATGGCTAGCCTGGGTGGGACAAAACCCAGCATCCATTTCTCAAAGATGAAATTATATTTTTGTGGACAGATGGGAAAAAAAAAAACGTTAACAATATAAGAGAATGTTCATACATTTCATGAGGACGTTATATAATGATCTATTTCTTCTGTCTCCCTCACAATATCTATCATTGTGTTTGGCACCCAACAATTTCTTGACAAATAGACCCTGAATTTGATTTACTGATAACCAGCAAATTCATCAAATGGTTTGCAGTTATTATCTGTCTTCCTTCATCTCTCCCCTTTCATTTTTTTCTGCTTCTCTTTCCCAACCACTGCTGATTTTTTTCTTATTTTTTAATCCCTCTTAATTTGATTTTTTTTTTAATTACTCTGTGGTCTCTTTACCTTTTAGCATTTTCTCTCCCTAATTGTGTTGCAGTCTTTTTCTGTCTTAATATTTTCTTTTATTTTTCTCATTTTATTGTTTTACCTTCCTCTCCCTCTTTTCTCTGGTTTTTATATTCTTTGCTAGCTGCTGGCCTGTTTTTATCAGGGTTTTTTGGGGGTTTTTTGGCTGATGTTGGCTGGTCTGTTTGTTTTCCTTCTCTCCTGTGTTTGTGTTTTCTCTGCTTGCCTCACCGGATACAAGACAGCAACTGCAGCCATACAGCCCCGCCACAACCGTACCCTCTGCAAGCACCAACACCAGCTGCTTATACAATGGATCAACGACAACAGAAAGCATCAGCCAAACTCATCTTAACTGAACTGCACAAACAAAGAGCACGCACACCCCTTGACCCCCTCCCCCAGGAGGAAGTTGGTGAGTGCCTAGGAAAAACCAATATACAATCATCAACTTAACACAAATACAACAACATCACAGTGCCTCAAAAGCTACAATTTCTAGTCACATGAAGAGACAAGACAGAGTGGTTGAAACAAGTGACTAAGAGGCAGAACTAGAAAACATTTTTGAGTGAAAAAAGGCATTAGAACTACCTGAGAAAGAATTCAAGAGAATGGTATTTAGGTACAACTAAAGGATGTGGCGCTGTGGGTTCATGTGCCAGACTGCAAAGCTGTTTGAACTGCAAGGTTGGCGGTTCAAGCTCACCAGATGCTCCCTGGAAACCCTATACAGGGTCGCTATGGGTCGGAATCGACTCGACCGGCACTTAACAACAAAAGGATTCACAGAATCCTAGTATGGCGCTGTGGGTTAATGCGCCAGACTGCAAAGCCATTTGAACTGCAAAGTCGAAGGTTTAAGCTCACTAGTCACTCCTTGGAAACTCTATACAGGGTTGCTATGGGTCGGAACCAACTCAATGGCACTTAACAACAACAAAGGTAGACTAAACAAAGGAAGGATTCAGGCAAGCACTACAGGAACAATCAACAGAAAGGTAAACAAAGGAAGAGTAAACAGAAAGGTAGAGTAAACTAAGGAGGAATTCAGGTAAGCACTACAGGAACAATCAAACAAAATAAAGGACTGGAGACAATACAAAACTTCCAAGGAGAAATCCATAAGATTAACACTAAAATTTCAGAAATGGACAGTACACTGAAAGGGCAAAGGAGTAGATCTGAACCAACAGAAGCCCTAATCAGTGAACTTGAATCACCAAAAAGAATTAAGAAATCTGAAAAAAGCCTAAGATTCATGTGGAACCACATGGAGAGGAATAATCTATGGATAATCAGAATTCCCATAGGTTATTCCTCTCCATGTGGTTTCACATCTGGTAGTGTAGTGGTTACGAATCGGGCTGTGAACCGCAAGGTCAGCAGTTCGAAACTACCAGCAGTTCCGCGGGAGAAAGATGGGGTGTTGTGCTCCCGTAAAGATTTACAGCCTCAGAAACCCTGTACAGGGTAGCTATGAGTCGGAAATGACTCCATGGCACTTAACAACAACAATCAGAATTTCAGAACAGGAAGAGACAAAGAAAAGCACAGAAAAAATAGTTGAAGAGCTGCTGGAAGAACATTTCCCTAACATCATGAAAGATGTGAAGATAAACATTCAAGAAGCTGAACGAACCCCAAACAGGATAGATCCCAAAAGAAAATCACCAAGACATATGTAATCAAACTCTCCAAAATCAAAGATAAGAGAAGAATTCTGAAAGCAGTTCAGGAAAAAAAGAAAAGTTACTTATAAAAGTAAACTTTTCAATATATGCACAGCCTTGGAACTGCAGGGTTCTGAGATACAGGGATTGAGTCATGGTTGGAATGGGGGGG